GTTCTTACAGTATGTGTGAATATATGAGCTGGAGAGGATGAAGGCTCTCTGCTCTTCTGCCACACATTAAGGTAAAAGGTGGACTTCAGGACAGTGTAGAAGACGTTCGTGGAAATGGATCTGAAACGTGTTATTTTGCTCTTTTGAGCACCTTTGAGGTTGTGGGAGAAGCTATGAACAGGAAATTTGCTTCACACCACAGAAGATTTTGCAATGTTTGTGGGGTAATGTTCCATTGAATGTGTTCCACTGAATTTCTTACATTTTATGACTTTAACCTGGCGTAACCCTCTGGTTTTAAATGCACTGCATCTTAAATTTCATAATCTCACGTTTTTAGTTCATGCTAATGCAAAGTCCAGGGGCTTATATAAAGTCTGTCATGTCTGTTTGTTCCACAGAACATCGACATTACCAACTTCAGCAGCAGCTGGAATGATGGACTGGCCTTCTGTGCTGTCCTTCACACATACCTGCCTGCTCATATTCCCTATCAAGAGCTCAACAGTCAGGACAAGGCAAGTACACTGCTGAATCTGCAGCATGTCTATGATTATATAGTATTTTGACAGTTAAAACACACGTAAAAAAAATAACAAATATCTAACCAAGTAGCCTTTATTTGAAAGATTTATCAAGCCTATGAGAACAGATCTTTGTTATTTTTTAGGTTAATCTTGGTTTATTATTTGTTGTTAATCTCACAACTATTTATTTGTTTTCAGAGACGAAATTTCACTCTGGCCTTCCAAGCAGCAGAAAGTGTGGGCATCAAGTCCACTCTGGTAAGTAGGTCTTTTGCATTAGCTTTATTACAACAGCTCATTTAGGCCAGCTGATGAAGTAAGCCTGTAGTTTGCACACAAATGGGCATGTTCAGCAGTCAGAGAGTTTCACTGGAGCGACGTGCACAAAGACCTAAAGCAGATCTAAGGCATTTCTGTCATCCACACCCATCCTGTAAGCTGACAGCAGGTGAAAAGCTGGAAACACTTAATTATCTTCCAGCGCTGTTTACTTATAGCACACAATATAGAATTGTTTCCTTATTGTGAACTACTTAAACAATATGTTCAGCATGCACTGAAGCTAAAGCAAGTCCTAGGAATGAATCAAATTTTCAAAATCATGGAGAAGTCATACAAATGTATATACTGAACATAGACTATTATTCAAAAGTTTTAGTTTTTTAAGTAAAATACTTTTATTCAGCAAGGACACACAATTGATCAAAAGCGACAGTGATGGCATTTATAATGTTAAAAAATATTTGCTAATGAATGCTGTTCTTTTAAACGTTTTATCCATCAAATAATCATAAAAAAAGTGCATCATAGTTTTCACAAAAATATTAGGTGTATTCAAGGTAACACTTTACAATAAGGTTTCATGTGTTAACATTAGCTAACTACATTTAGTTAACATGAACTATAAATGAAAAACATTTCTAAAGCATTTAGTAATTTTAGTTCTTGTTATTAGCAAAATGTACTAATACATTATTAAAATTGAAAAGTTGTACAGTATATGTTACAATTATTTAATGGACCAGAGCTAACATGATCTAACAATGAACAGTTGTATTTTTATTAACCAACGTTTATAAAGATTAATAAATCCTGTAACAAATGTATAGCTCACTGTTAGTTAATGTTATTAAATGTGCCATTTACCATTAACTAATGGAACTTTATTGTAGTGTTACCGTTTTCAACATTTATAAAAAATAAACTGACTGACTGATTTCTGAAGCATGATATGACACTGAACCTTGGAGTAATGATGCTAAAAATTCAGCTTTGCCATCACAGGAATAAATTACATTTTAAAATGTATTAAAATAGAAAACCAATATTTTCAATTGTAATAGTAGTTCACAATATTACTCGTTTTTACTGTATTTGTAATCAAATAAATGCAGTGTAAATTGTTCATGTGTTCTTCTCTCAAATATTTTGGCTGGAATTTGATAGACTACATTGTTTTTTTTATATTATTATTAGAGGCATTTGTGCACCAGTAATAAGTGTAATAGTTTAAAATATCCCTGGATATCTCTGCAAATAGGTTTTTTTTATATATCATAAAAATCATGGAATCTTTATGGAGTTTCATTGATTTCTTCCTGCTGAAATGATGAAAATAAGTGGTATAATGTGCTTTTTCTCAAATACACTTTAATTATCTCTCTCTTTCTCTTTTAGGACATCGATGACATGGTCCATACTGAAAGACCGGACTGGCAGAGTGTAATGACTTACATCACTGCTATCTACAAGTATTTTGAGACCTGAGTACGTGTCCTTTTATACCCCACCATATCATCCAGGCCTAACCCTAGCACAGTCATATTACATCGATCACAAGGACAATAGCATTAGCATATGCTGATATGGCGTGATACATTGATTATATCAAGGAAAGTGGAACTCGGCTGCTAATGCAGAATCAGTTTGCCTTGGCAATAGTGCTTCAACTCACTGTCGGGAGACCCTAAAACACTACGGACTTCACATCCAGTTACTAATTCTTAGAGTGGATGATCTGAGCCTGTGGATTTGAAATCAGTCTCGAGGAACAGCGTGGACTCGCTTGTGACCCCGTGCCTTCTGCCACCCCGAGTTCTTGCGTCCAGACAGGCATTTGGAGCAAGATCTTCACCTTAATTCACAACGTGCAAAAATTGAACTTGTTTTAAAAGAGCGAGACTTGCGGATTGCTCAAAGCAGTGCCTAATCGAAACGCTTTATTGGAGAATCACTTCAGTAGAGGAGAATTGTACACTAATAGGAGTTATTCACTACAGCACACAGTCAGTGGTTTAACTTTTTACAGGATTGTTTTGAAAGCTCATCGTGGGCGCCTTTATGTTACGACTGTGACCGATCTTGGCTTGAAATACTACATATTAAATAGGGAGGTCAGCAATAAGCTTGTGTAACCTTTTGAGCCATTTCATATGACATTAGTGCTGCTCAACAACAGTAAGATACTGTAGAAAACACTACAACAGATTTGCAGCACATGTGCATGTACTGTCCAGTGTATTAGTCTGAAATAGTATACCAAAAATGAAATGTTGTTTGTGATGCAGTTAAGCTAACGTCCTTCAGTACTAATCAAATGGTATGTTCTTTCTCAGGATAAGAAAGTCTTATCGATATTTATCACAACGAATAATCCATATGTGATTCATAATATGTTATGCGCACCAATACCTGCACATTTTATAGTTTGCAAAGCACAAAAATCATCTTACATGCACTAATTGAAGATGTAAATGAAGCTACATTCCAGTGCTTTTAATATGGATGAATAGAATGATTTATAGAGATTCTCTGCATGAGTGAGTGAGAAAAATCCTAATCGTCACATATATCCTGTTTTCCAGCTGTGCTGAATTCAGGCATCGCTCTCTTTTCATGAGTATGAAAGTATGTTTCCCACCTGTCTGCAAATAACACTTAATACAAGACATTAAAATAAAAACAATAATGATAACATAGGAATTTTTCATGAAAATTGTCTATTTTCTGGTATGTCTCTTATTTTCTACACTTTGATTCTTTTAATAGAGTATTTAATTTTTCCATCCCCGAGGAGCATTTTGAATTGTTTGAAATAATACCGATTCAAATTCTAGTGTGTGTTTAACTAAGCAGTTTATTTTTAGCTCTCAAACATCTGAGAGAAAGACCAATCTGCAGTTACTCTGGTAAGCGTTTAAGATTAATTCCAAACTGTGTTACAGTTTAGTCGTTTTTACATTACGTGCGTCTCTGGTTTTAACAGTATAAGTTACTGTACTTCACCTTTGGACCATCATCACATATTCATTGTTAGTAAATGACAGATTGATCTTTGTTTGAAATGTTTTGTTGAGGAGCCTCATATAAGCTTGACTTACTAAAAAAAAAAAAGAGGCATGTTGAGATGGACCTGCATTCAGTATATGTCTGTTTGATGTGCTTCGTCCAGCTTTCATCACATTAATATGAATGTAATACAGCAAAAGGCTTCTCCAGCTCTGTTGCCTTTTAGATTGTTACTTTATGCCAGTTTATTTTCTGTTCTTGAACTCTTTTGCTGCCATTTGTTTAGTTGTTTTTTTAATTATGAGAGCATTATCTTAATAAAAAAGGTTAAATGTTTTCCTTTTTATAAATAAATGTGACGAGCAATCAATATGCTTTTTCTCCTAAATGAATCAGTTGTGGTGTGTAAATGTTTATGATTTAGTTATGTTTTTCTTTGCATTTTTGTTCATTTAATTTAGCTAGCCATTTAATTCTCAGGAGTTCTTTAGCTCAGCATAGAGACATCGCTTTTCGTCTTTAATTTTTTCAGAGATAGATTAATTGGACTTAAATAGTATAGAAATAACAAAAATGAGGTTTTAATTTCCTTTCCGGACTGGTCATTCAAGTAACATTGTAATGCGTTGTGGTCGCCCACCCATTTGACTGGAAGGCTTTTCTAAACTTTGTCTTAAACACATTTAACAGGTCATTTACAAACTGGCAAAAGGTCTGAGGAAAGGAGATGGTGGATGTTTATGAGTTTAGTTTTTGCTCTTTATTGTTGTAAAGGATGGGTGTTGTGCGCCATGATTAGTGCATTTCTAAGATTAGATATGACGTCAGTCATTATATAGGGAAAAATGTTGCATTTTGTCCTGAATGAGACCAATTAATTGGCCTGCTTTCCTACACAGATCCCTATTGTCTTTCACTATCACGTGTGAATGAAACCCAGATTGACCTTAATACCGGTATGTCTGGCTTAACTGTGGGACTAAAGTCTCAGAGAAACTGTCTGTTTATAGATTATTTTTAATATATTGACAAAGATTTCCATTTTAAATGATTGGTAAATCTCAATAAAAACCTATTACGTGGTCAATACAAAACAGTAGCTAATTTGAATACTGTACTTCTGCCTTGTAAATTTCCTTTCAGATAATCTCACAAGAGACATGGCACTAGCAGTTCAGTTGTTTCACTGAAACTTGATCACAGGAAGGAGCAGTATCAGTATCTAAACATTCGTCCAGACCTCCGGCTCCGGATTGGTCAAGCAGGCTCTCATAGGGTTCTTCCTATAGTCTGTCATTTTCTTTAGTGCTGATACGAGGGCGCGCGACTCACTGCTGAGCTGACGCCTGAACGCGCCGACGGAATCATTAACGAATCATGAACCACTGAGGACTCTTTTTCGGAGGGTTGCCTTTTTATCTTTTGTTCATGGGGTGTCCTGCTTGTTTTATTTTTCTTATTCAGTCATTCCAGGAGTTATCAACTCTGATGGTAAGTTGAAACTACCTAATAAGAGCCCGCGGAGTTTCGAATGAATCGGATTTGTTGGCATACTTGAAATAATTCTTACACAGATTGCCTGCACTTTTTAAATTAAAGTGAATTATTCAAGTGAGATTGTTTCTAATTTAGTTAAAACTCATGCTGTGTGCAGTTCTGCAGGCATCACAATATTTTAGCTTCAAAACAAATAATACAGGAACAACCCCAGCTAGCTCTGTCATTTACAAATAACCTTGGAAACAGCTAAGTTAACTAATTCATTGAGAAGAAAACGATTAGTAACTGAATTGCGTTTGGGCGCAAATTAGCAGTGTAAATGAAACTGCAGTTCATAAGCCATTTTAACATTTATTCCTTAAAATTAACCATTGTGTATTTTGTTGTGAAGTAGCCTACTGTTTAAACTAGTGTTTTTATTTTTGCTAGTAAGTATTCCTGTAGGAATGAATTAGCATCTTTTTCAATTTCACCACTAACTAGCCTATTCACTGAACGCTTGGTATTTTTCAACAGCGATTATACTTTCAATTAGACTCTGGCATTCATTATTAAATACTTTATTTGTTTAGGTAGCCTACTTATTCTTTAAACACATACCTGTTTAAAACTTAAAAACATTGGTAGGCTATAGAAACTATAATATTCACTCAGAATGTGCTAGTAGGCCTACGGTAAATGAACAATAATGGAAACAACAAGTAACACTTAATTAAACGTACATTTTTGAAGCAAAGAAACCTGAAATAGTATTTTTTGTCACACTTTAGATTAGGGTCTAAATCTCACTTTTAACTAACTGTCAATTATGAAATTACTACATTAATATTGAATAAGGTAGTTAAGTTTAGGTATTGGGTAGGATTAATGGATGTAGAATATGATCATGCAGAACAAGACATTAGTATGTGCTTTATAAGTACTAATAAACCGCCAATAAACTAGTAATATGCATGCTAATACGCACTGCAGTTAATAGTAAGAATTGGACCCTAAACCAAAGTGTTACAAGTATTTTCTTGTACAAAGTACTCCAGGAATTTTTGTTTTATTTACCACTTCAAAAAAAAAACTTCTATTTTTTTTGACAGTGCACACACTTCTGTTTCTTCCAGTTGTTACTATCATTGGTAATTGAACAATAAAGTAAGCAGCAAAACTGTACACAAATTAACACCCACAGTTTCCAACATCAAAAGTGTTAACTTTAACAACAATTTTGTGTTGATTCAGCACACTGTTGTTATTTTATACATTGTGTGTTTGCTGGTATAGATGTTGAATACTGGTGTCTCATAAATAGGCATTAGTTTTCTAATAAATTAAGCACTAGTAAACCTGGAATACTGTAGATGCTAGTAACTTTTGTATAGTTTCTAATTACTACAAAATAAGTAATTAATGAAATAGCCTAATAATTTTTATTAGTAATACTTAGAAATACGTACCATCAACAATTTTACATACTAGTCATATGAGTCAGAAGTCAATAGTTAAAATCTATAACATCTTTGTATGACAATGACAAAATTTCAGTTTGTTACCAGTAACACTTGGGACTACCAGAACTACTGTCTATTCTAATGCATGGTTACTAGAGAAATTAAAAAAGATAGTAGTCACTATTTGATGATTACTGATTGGTAAAATAACATGACAAGAGATACAGTATATCTGAGTTTTGGTTTAGATCAGAGTTATAACACACACACACACACACGTGTATGTGTGTGTGTGTAAAATTGACTTTTTGTTTCTACTGATATGTGGTTTACTTGTTGATGGAGAACTGGAAGGGCCCTTGAAGCTTTTCTTTAAGGGTTAGTGTTGTGATTTGTGATTTCAGCATGTTAGATGTATTGGAACATCATTTATGTCAAACTTGACCCAGATTTTACTTTTAACTTCATAACAGCAAATACATCTTCGAATGTAAGAATCAAAACAGATTTTCAACTGAGAAATGGAGCATTTTTCATTTTATGATCCTATCAATCATCTGAGGTAAAAGGAGAGTAAAACAGCTGTAAAGCCTACATTCGCACACAGCTGAAGTACATCTGTTTGTTCTGAGCTGGTCTTGCGGTTTCATCTGAAATGTTTGAATTGGTTTGCTATCAAACCCTGATATTTTGGATTTGGTTTAGTGAGGAATGAATCAGATTTTGAGCCAGATAGAGTTTGTGATTGTTCGATGGTGGATGGATGTAGACTGATCTTTTCCATCGTCCATCCACAAGGGTCCACTGTTGAGTCTGGTGTTGGCACAGGTTGTGGCCCACAATCTGTCTAGTATAGCTTAAACATTGTCTTCTTATAAACGCAAAGCACTCAATCCAGAAGACTTCTTTGGGAAACTGATCAAAGGGTTCATTTCGATGTTTTGGAGACCTGTTTCTCTGTTGTCCCATTGTCAGCCCTAAACTCTCACAGATCTATATCAATGGCTGTGAGGCTGGGCGTCAGGATCTTCTTCTTTATTATGTTTTCTCACCTGTTAGTACAATAATTTTCACCTCCCCCCACTGTCAGTTCTTGTTTATGACAGTCACCTATTCACATTCTATTCATTTTTGTTCTTTTTTTGTTGTCAATAAATGTCATGAGACTTACCCCCGGTTTTACGGACAAGGCTTGCCTAGTCACAGACTAAAATGAATGTTTGTGTTGTCTTAACTAAAAGCAATTTGCACTGACATATTTAAAAATATGTCAGTGCCATTGTTTTGTCTTAAGATGCACACCAGTAATGTTTTTTTAAGGCATGTTTATAAAAGCTACTTAATAATTGAACTAAGGCCTAATCCTGGCCATTGTGTTGCAAATATTAGTCCCTGTATTTAAGCTTTAAGGGTTGTCTATATTCTAGTGTAGTCCTAAAGGTTCACAAAATTGACTTAAAAAATATACAAAAATAAAAAATCTCCTTCTCTTCCGAAAATAAAAAACCCATTGAGGACCAATAGAATTCCCTCTAGAATGAGATTGTAACGCATGCATACCGGTATGTATAAATGCTATTTATTATGAGATTTACGGTTTTAAATGTTTGTAATGCATGTTTGAAAAGCGCTGTAAATGTAGCAGAGCAGCTGTTTTCACATGTTTTTCAGAGGTGAGTAACCTCAGGGAGCGTTTCTACAGCAGTGTGGGAACACTTCAGGGTAAATAACTCAGACTCTCAGTTAAGGGCTTCAGAATGACTTCCCATAAACACTAAAACAAAAGGAAAGCTTCTGGCTATCACTACTGGACTGTCTGGTAAATGTAAAGTCTGAGATAAAGAATATCCACCTCAAGATTTTTTTGTGTTCACATATGTTTCTTAATCTTGCAATGTGTTAAAGCTTGCCATTTGTAATTACAAGAAAAGGCTTTGACTCTGGAAAAGCTCAATAGTCTGCTGTTATTAGTCAATCCCGATAAAGTGTCAGAATTTCATTGTTAGGCTTTAGGAAATGGGATAATCTTATCATGCTGCTGCAACACTCAGTATTATTTTTAAACCCTATATTGTTGTCAATGCCAAAAAAAAGTAAAATTTTTACTTTTATCTGTTTTTGTCCAGTCCTTCTCTTCAGAGCCTTGTTTTCCTGTTGATGGCATATTTTTTTTCTTTTCTTCTTTCTCCAGGGAATACAGTGGAATACTAAATGTTATAGAAAGAAGGAAAAGCAACACATGGAACGAGGACTGGACCATCAAGTTTTAACATCATGACATGGGATCATAACGGATTTTAAACCTTTTTTTTTTGTTGTTGTTGTTAGTTGTATTTATTTAATGCCAAATCTTTTTAGTAAGATCTGAGGTCAAATTCTAATGTTTATAAATACTTTTAAAAATGATTTACAACGTTTTATGGCACATTTTCAACTAGCAATGCAACAGTCTGGAACGTTTTTACAGACGCAACATTTGATTATTCTTCTAAAGGCATCTCAGTCTTCTGGTAAGGCTGACACTAGGCCTCGTGAGTTGGCTGTTGCCTCGAGCTGCAGCTATGGACATTGAGGCGAGGCATCGTCCTTTCTCCCCAGAGACCTCACCATGCTGAACAATGTCTTTGACGTGTTATACATGATTCTGGAGCTGCTGATTGCCCTGCTCTCCATCCTGGGCAACGTGTTGGTCTGCTGGGCCGTGGCCCTCAACAGCAACCTCCAGAGCATCACCAACTTCTTTGTTGTTTCGCTGGCCGTGGCGGACATTGCTGTGGGTGTGCTAGCCATCCCCTTCTCCATCGTGATCAGCACTGGTTTCTGTGCCAGATTCTATGGTTGTCTGTTCATCGCCTGCTTCGTCCTAGTGCTGACCCAGAGCTCCATATTTAGTCTTCTGGCCATCGCCATTGACCGCTACATTGCTATCAAGATCCCATTACGGTGAGTGAAGAATGTTGCTTTCAGGATATTGATGTTTGGATATTTATTTTACTTCAGGGAGGTTGTTTTTTATTCCTATTGTCAGCTGGATCTGTTTATTATTACATTTTGTAGACCAAATGTTTCATGCCATATGTTAAATATTTTGGCCCTCAAGAGAAAGTTTTCTACCAGTTATCTAGAATATCTACCATGTGTTTTGAATGCAAAAAAAAAAAAAAAAAAAAAAAAGAATGCCTGTTTTCAAATAATCTTTTTGTAAAAAGTGTATTGGGTCAATAGCGACCTGTGGTATGTAATAATGTTCGTATATTTTTTCTGTTTAACAATAATTGAATCTCTGATGACTCAATAAATGCAATTCACCTACACTCACCTAAAGGATTATTAGGAACACCTGTTCAATTTCTCATTAATGCAATTATCTAATCAACCAATCACATGGCAGTTGCTTCAATGCATTTAGGGGTGTGGTCCTGGTCAAGACAATCTCCTGAACTCCAAACTGAATGTCAGAATGGGAAAGAAAGGTGATTTAAGCAATTTTGAGCGTGGCATGGTTGTTGGTACCAGACGGGCCGGTCTGAGTATTTCACAATCTGCTCAGTTACTGGGATTTTCACGCACAACCATTTCTAGGGTTTACAAAGAATGATGTGAAAAGTGAAAAACATCCAGTATTGCGACAGTTAGAGATCCATCCATGTAAGATATAGATCCAGGTCGCTAAAGACCCGAATATATATAATAATGATTGGCGAAACATTCATGCATTTAAGGGTTAACAAGCTTAACCAGCATTCTTCTTTCTAGTTGACCAGCATTTTTTGGAACATCAAAGCAACTAGACCAGTATAACCCTACTGAAAGTGCACACTGGGCTGGGCTTTGCTGGTTTAAGCTGGTCTAGCTGAAACGTGACTAAAACCTCTCTAAAACTAGCCTGACCAGGCTGGGAGACTACCTAAGACTACCTTGTCAGTAGACCAACTTAGGCTGGCCTGCGAAGATGGGGGGGGGGGGGTTTTCAGCAGGGAAACCAGCCTGGATAGAAATTCATGCTGGATTAAGATGGTCTTTTCAGGAAATGAACACACATGGCACTGTTCCCGGGGCAAAAATAGGGCCAAATTACTAATTTGAAATAAATTTAGGGTTCCATTATAGCACACATTGTGTCTTTCCAACAAACATCAGATTCTTGCCTATTTTTGGGTGAATATGATCTAAGAACATGGCAAGGTTTGGAAACTTGATTTTGAGGCTGTCTTTGAGCCTCTCGTAAATCTGATTTACTCTGGAATGTTTTTGCTAATAGTTTGTACAGATTTCCTTTAGCAAGTATCCACTTCTGTTTTTTGTCAGTCAGTCTTTTATCAGATGCCAATTTTTCCCCGTAAACTCTTCATACCTCATGATGAGCCGATTAGCACTTTTCAGGATGGACAGCTAATCTGCTAAAGGAGATTAAGGAAATGTTGGGATAATACTGTCTCATTCTGTTTTGGAATGGTCAGTTCTGCTATTTTCAATGAGATGTGTGATAGACCACGTGCATGTCCACGTCCTGTCAGCAGGTTTTGGGTGGGGGACGGGGATGTTTTCTCTGTGTGGCTCACTGAACTTCCACATCTGGAGAATGAGACTAATAGAGGCCAAGGAACTCAGCTGTTCTCCCACACTGGCCCAAAAAAAGACTGAAAATAGATTTCTGTTCCAAACGCTGACATTTCTGAGCACATTCTTTCTTCTTAATTGCTCCAATGGGAGAGTTTGCTGGAAATACTGTGAATGGATGCTAGGATCATTAGCACGGTGGTTGCGTCAAGGTTGTTCTAATTCTCTGTTCACGTTGTGTCGGAATTACCATAATTACGAGATTTTCCTTTGAGCTATATTAATATTAATTTCTATGATACAAATGTATCTGTGTGTGATATTGTTGTCATGACAGACAAAAAATCTTCATCTCTACCTTACTTCACAAATGTATTCTTTTGTAAAATCTAGAAGAAGAAGGAAAGCAAACAAGGTAACACTGGCTTTATTAAAATGACATAAATATATGAGTAGGCTAGATGCTGTTTGAATTATTGGAGGTTTCAGACTTAAAGTAAAAAAATGAAAATGCAATTATGAGATAAAGTTTAAAATAACTAAATAGAGTTACATTGTGAGATATGGATTCACAATTGAGAGGCAAGTTTTATAAAGTTGCAATTATGAGACCTGGGCATAATTTTGAAAAAATAAAATCACAACTGAGAGATATAGTCAGAATATAGAAATTGTGCGAAATAAAGTCGCAGTTGAAATATCAAGTCGCAATTATGAAAAATAAATTGCAATTCTGAGATATAAAGTCAGAATATAGAAGGTTACATTGTGAGATATGAAGATGTGATTGTGAGTGTGGAAGCAATTTAATGTTTTATATGTTTGCATTTAATTATATTTATAGAATCTTAGAAATATGATGGTAATTAGAATAATGTAGTGTCGATGCATAATGCATATATGTATGTGTATGTCCTTGTATATGACCTGACAAAAGTTAATGTGTGACTAAGTGCATGACCGAGACAGAGGGTCTCCATTCAAGAATATAATATGATTAATATGATAGACAAATCTAAACAATGTATTAGTTATGGTTGAGAGATATCTTTATTTAGCCTCAGGAAAACAACCTTGGGGGAGGAACAACTATAAAGAAGGAAGGATGCCCCCCACTCGTTGTCACACTCTGCAGGCACTTTGTATGGCTGTTGACCTTTCCTTGCAAGGGAATACATAATCTTTAAAGACAATTGGTACATGTTTGTCTCTTATTCAGTAATAGAAAATTGTTTGCCACCACATGAGATATAAAAAAATAATAATATGAGAAATAAAATTGCAATTGTAAGATTTAAAGTCAGAACTGAAAAGTCGCAATTATGAGACACGAAAGATTTTTACGCTTGGGAAACTAATAATTACATAATTCCAGCATGATGTAAACAGTTTTTAAGGGGTGTCTAGTTTTACAGCCATGCTGTCATTTGCTTACTTTTGTTAGTACTTTGGACCTTTTAGATGTGCAGTCCAGACAATCTGGAGCAAACATTTATGGCTGGGGAATTTGAAAAACATCAACCGTAGCGTCAGTTCTGGCAGGTCACGTTAGTCAAGCTTGCATCAGCTGATCCACGTCTACCTATAGGAATATGATGCCTATCACCGTGTACATATATGAGCTCCTTCAGTATTTTCAGCAGCTATCGCGTTTCTCAGGAGCTAATTACCCTCCTCCATCCCCAGCTCCTCCTCTCGTCAGTCAGGATTTGGCATTCTGATTACCCCTGAATCAGACTAAAATTCTCTAATTATGTTGTCATTAAAATTAATTGGTGATATCTGCAATACATTCAAGTTGGTTCTGTTCTGTTTACCCTAAGGGCTTTTTTTTTGCTGCTCTCCCTGCTCTTATCCATGCTAGGCTGCATGAATGCGCAGGGAGTTCTCTCCTAGAACGGAACCATATCGCCAATCCAAACTGTATGCTAATTGTCAATCGTATTTGATGATAGTGGTCCTGACAGAAATGATTTTCTCTCTCTTCCAGATACAACAGCCTAGTAACCGGGCAGCGTGCCAAAGGCATCATAGCGATCTGCTGGGTTCTGTCAGTTATCATCGGTCTAACGCCCATGCTAGGCTGGCACAAAGCCCGCTCAGAGAAGCACATCAACAGCACCGACTGCCCGCCTGGCATGATGCAGTGTTTGTTCGAGGAAGTGGTGGTCATGGACTACATGGTCTACTTCAACTTCTTCGCCTGCGTGCTGCTGCCTTTGCTTCTCATGCTGGCCATTTACCTGCGGATCTTCATGGCTGCGCGCCACCAACTCAAATGCATCGAGTCCAAGGCCATGCCGTGCGAGCTCAAGTCCCGCTCCACCCTGCAGAAAGAGGTCCATGCCGCCAAGTCTCTGGCCATCATCGTTGGCCTGTTTGCTGTGTGCTGGTTGCCGCTGCACATCATCAACTGTTTCACTCTGTTTTGTCCTCAGTGTGAACGGCCACCCGTTCTTATCATGTACCTGGCTATAATCCTTTCGCATGCAAATTCGGTCGTGAACCCTTTCATCTACGCCTACCGCATACGTGAGTTCAGATACACCTTCCGGAAGATAGTACGCTATCACATCTTGGGCAGACGGGAGCCTCTTTCTTGCAATGGGAGCACCCGAACCTCAACCCGAACGAGCGTGGCAGATTCACTTCGGATTAAAGTCAACGGCCTGGTGCGAGACCTCTACACCGAGCAGAGCAGCACCACCAGCAGCTGTGAAAGTGCCGAACCCGGCCACACGCACAGACCTGTTGCCACGGAAAACTCCATATTAGACAACCGGCCTATGGAACTCACTAATTCCCACAGACATCCGGCTCTGAGGCATCCAGAGTCGCCGCTCACTGGGAATAATGAGGGCATTGCGTGCAGGAAGCATGCTGTATTTGACATTACTGATGGGAAGGATCTGTCCTCACCACTTCACATTAAATCAGCCCTGTACCTGCAAACAGCCAACTGTGTTGAACTCACTGAGGTTTCCTGATAAATAATGCTGTCCGAATAATGGATTCAAATTATTTATTTGCTGCTCCGAAAGAAAGACTTGACATTGATGTGGAGCCAGTAGCAGCTCAGAAGTGAGTGTGTACAGTTTGACATTGTAATGATTTTAATGAAAATTAAAAATATATATATTAAAGAGCATGGATGACTGAAATGGGCATCTGTAATGAATATCAATTCTTTATATCAGATATAATTTTCAAACTTAAGAATTAAGAATGTCTATTTTGACAGTTCATGAGTTGGAATATATATATATATATATATATATATATATATATATAATTATTTATATATATATATATATAGTTATTTATATATATATATATATATATATATATATATACAATCACCTAAAGGATTATTAGGAACACCATACTAATACTGTGTTTGACCCCCTTTCGCCTTCAGAACTGCCTTAATTCTATGTGGCATTGATTCAACAAGGTGCTGAAAGCAGTCTTTAGAAATGTTAGCCCATATTGATAGGATAGCATCTTGCAGTTGATGGAGATTTGTGGGATGCACATCCAGGGCACGAATCTCCCGTTCCACCACATCCCAAAGATGCTCTATTGGGTTGAGATCTGGTGACTGTGGGGGCCATTTTAGTACAGTGAACTCATTGTCATGTTCAAGAAACCAATTTGAAATGATTCAAGCTTTGTGACATGGTGCATTATCCTGCTGGAAGTAGCCATCAGAGGATGGGTACATGGTGGCCATAAAGGGATGGACATGGTCAGAAACAATGCTCAGGTAGGCCGTGGCATTTAAACGATGCCCAATTGGCTCAAAGTGGCCTAAAGTGTGCCAAGAAAACATCCCCCACACCATTACACCACCACCACCAGCCTGCACAGTGGTAACAAGGCATGATGGATCCATGTTCTCATTCTGTTTACGCCAAATTCTGACTCTACCATCTGAATGTCTCAACAGAAATCGAGACTCATCAGACCAGGCAACATTTTTCCAGTCTTCAACTGTCCAATTTTGGCGAGCTCTTGCAAATTGTAGCCTCTTTTTCCTATTTGTACTGGAGATGAGTGGTACCCGGTGGGGTCTTCTGCTGTTGTAGCCCATCCGCCTCAAGGTTGTGCGTGTTCTGGCTTCACAAATGCTTTGCTGCATACCTCGGTTGTAACGAGTGGTTATTTCAGTCAAAGTTGCTCTTCTATCAGCTTGAATCAGTCGGCCCATTCTCCTCTGACCTCTAGCATCAACAAGGCATTTTCGCCCACAGGACTGCCGCATACTGGATGTTTTTCACTTTTAAAACCATTCTTTGTAAACCCTAGAAATGGTTGTGCGTAAAAATCCCAGTAACTGAGCAGATTGTGAAATACTCAGACCGGCCCGTCTGGTACCAACAACCATGCCACGCTCAAAATTGCTTAAATCACCTTTCTTTCCCATTCTGACATTCAGTTTGGAGTTCAGGAGATTGTCTTGACCAGGACCACACCCCTAAATGCAGTGAAGCAACTGCCATGTGATTGGTTGATTAGATAATTGCATTAATGAGAAATCGAACAGGTGTTCCTAATAATCCTTTAGGTGAGTGTATATGGCGGAAGACTGTGGTGGAACAACATTTAACCCAAACTTTTCAATCATTAAATTTAATACATTAATTTTTACTTTGTGGATGGATATGAATTGGATTTGATGGATTTGAATTACAATTTGACATCCTGTTTGCTTCCTCAAATCAAATTCAGGAATTTAAAAGGCATTCTCAGTTAGTTCTCAATGGTTCACACCCCCGAGACAGGGAGAGCACGCTTTGTTTTCTTGTGACGGCTGACAGCTGAACCCAGCAGACATGAACACAACTTCGGCATCTGCACTGCAACACAAACATGAACTCAAAGTTCTACACGCACAAATGCCCACAGGCCATTGATTTCGTTGATTTGTAACTGGGAAAGCATGTTAGTGAAAGTTAGTCAGCAACACTGTATCCCATAAGGCTAGAATGTGTATTTATGCAGCATTCCAACTCATGCTGTGTTGTTTGGCTATGTGTTTTGTAGGCTTTGTGAAAGGTTTTAAGTATTGCTCTTTGACTGTGGTTTTCTATGAGACACTTTCCACATATACATTTTTGGAGTCTTGTTATTTTTGTTTTTAAATCATCAGGGGCACAAATCCAATGCTTTTTGTTGAGAATCATTAGATATATTAGACATCTAACATAAATTTGAAGATAGTCTATCCTTTCACTTGTATCTGACTATCTTATAGACATGCATTCTCCATGCTATCCAGCGAGTTATTTGTCGTGCCCTTCTTCTGATTCCACTGACCATTCCACACATTACTGACTTTAGCGAGTTAGCTCACATAACATGGCCAAAATAACTGTTGTAGTCTAGTGATTTCAGAGTGACATAATCGTCCACATATCTCAAATTGTTGATTGTTCCCCCAATCAATATTCGATGAGTCCAGGTCTAAATTTCACACGACCACCTCAGGATAGTGGTTAAAAAGAAATGGGGACAAAATACAGCCCCGTCTCACGCCCCTGCTGATCCTGATCTTATCTGTTTCATCATAGAGTGCTCAAAAAAACTTTTGCTGCCTTATTTTGTTCCTGTTTGTGGAAAGCTCCATAAAGGTTAAAAAAAAAATGTATCTGATTTTTTATCGTCATTCTGTTGCAACAAGATATTGTATTGCCCTGGCAATGTTCATGAAACATGTGATTTCACATCAACCCATTGCTTGTGATTTTGTGCTAATTCTTGCTGCATGCAGTATTAGGCCAGAAACGGCAATGTGGGCACATTTGATTTTCCTCTACCACATGAATAAATGACAATTACTTAGTTGCATATGGAGGGCTGTTGTCAACTAACCTGTTTGAGAATATACAGTTCCCCTGATTATGTGCATCTGTAGAGATGAAGATGCTGCTAAAAAAATCTGATTACAGCCCAATCATAATTTGCCACACCAAAACAGTATTGTCATGAGGGTCATTGGCGAGCAAAAACAGATGCAAAAAGTGCAATATTATTCACTATTAACTACATGTATTATTTAACGGTTGTTTAGTGTTCTTTGCTCGTCTGATATTGCTTAAGTATGTAAACGGTACATTCGATTAAGTTACAAAAGTTAATGTAATCAGTGGGCCTAAACGATTTGGTCGAATGTGTGATATAGCTTAAAGAGCAAGCTGTGAAATGAATTGCGAATTTCCTTCCAAAGACGGAGTCTCCAGACATGAAGTGCTCATCCCAGGAGATTCCTCCTCTTGGGCTGTTGTGCTCGATCACCCGCTGAAGGCTTATATGAATCCTAACATTGTATTTTTCCCAGCCTATTTCCCAATCCCAAAAGATTCCGGGTTAAAAGGCTGCAACAGTTTATCTCAAGAGATTTCTATATCTAGATGTATATATTTTTTCCTGAATTGAGCTCAACATATGATATAGGTCTACATGTAGATATCATATAGGCTATATAGATTATACATTTTATAGATTACAGGTTTTAAAAATTAAATCAATGGTAGCTTTACTTTAAGCACATCTGATTCAAATGGAATCGTTTACAGGCAGTTTTACTCATTTGATTCGAACTGAATCACGGTATGGTTCATCTGGCGCTCCTGACAGATTTGACACAAAAACAGGCTACATTAGGCCTAATCCATCTCGAGTTATTGCAAACAAAGGCTCATTGTGTGCTGACACAAAGTGATGTTAATGCGTCTGAAAATGCAGTAGGCTATTCACACCCTTCCTCCTAATGAACTCCAATATGACTCCTGGGCTCGACTCCATGTCTGCCAGCGGAGCTTTTGGATCTTCAACAATAGCAATTTGTTCCTCACTATTTATATTTGCTCTATATGCCTTTGCTCATACTGTGGGAGTGCCGTGAGTGAGTAGGATATGTGTAAATGTAGGCCTATAACCTTTGGCATACATTTAGCTTTTATTGAGCTAAGCAAACAGGCTGATCGGTCTCATCTTTGACATAAAGCTCGTAGAGGGCTTCATATCACATTTAAAGTTGTGGAAAATAACTGTTGATAAAGCTAATAATGTTTACACACTGATAACATTTTTTTTCTTCCAGAAAAGCAGTGTTAGGTTTAACTGGAATTTGGGCTTATGACTAAGCTTGTGTTGTCACGGTGAAGTTGCTGTTTGTGTCTCAACGGCTGTTATTCGCCATATTCGGTTGTGTATTTTTTTTATAATGTAGCCTACAACCGTTCAGAAGTTTGGGGTCAGTAAGATTTTTAAAAGGTTTTAAAAAGAAGTGCACTTATCCTCGTCGTGGCTGCATTTATTTGAACAAATATACAGCAAAACCGTAATATTGTTAAATATTATTACAGTTTAAAATAACTGTTTTCTTTTTTAGTATATTTTAAAAGTGATGCAAAGCTGAATTTTTCAGCATCATTACATCATTTGATGAATAGACTGTTCAAAAGAACAGCACTTAATTGAAAATCTTCTGTATAATCATAATGTCTTTTTTGTGAAGGCATGTATCTATACAGAAATTGACTTTCAAAAATGAACTTACCATGAGAAATTAGAGCTTCAATTTATTATTATTTATTATATAATTATTTAATAAAGTCATGACCACTCATCAAACAGATCAAATCATGTGATTTGATAAAAACAGAACTGGACTTTTTTCCCCCAGCAGAGATAATTGAGAGCATGAGTAAAACAATCAGATTGTTTTTATGGATCATCTCACATCCAGCAATAGAAGTTGCACTCAAGGTTCATGCAGTTAGAGCACAGGGACAAAATTGCAACAGACATTTAAATTAATGAAGTTTGCTAACCTATTGGTCCTTCAAGACTCATTTCTTATGGCATAACTTTTTCTCAAGTCAATACCGAAATAGCTGCTGTTCTGTTACTGTTATGTTTAAAGTCATGGGAAAAAAGGCTATAGATCTGCTGCATGTCCTGGAATAGTACTTCAAAGTATCAAAGAACCTGTCTGTCTGTGTACTAACTCCATGGAGACAAATCAGACTGCTCTGCTTCATAAAAAGAACCCTTTCTCTCTTCTCCTTTCATGGGGGTGAGAGAGAGATTGAGAGGCAGAAAAAGAGAGTAAATAATGTAACCCATGTAATAATAGTGCTGTTTCTGTAATGCAGATTCTAGGCCAGGAGGGAAGTTCATCCATAGTTCAGTGGTGGCACAGCAGGATACAATTCTGATTACATTGAGTCTAGTTTGCCAATTATAACTTTTCAACATTCCTCATAAACCAGGGCTTTGTCTCTAGGTATGGCTGTAGTCAACAACATTTAACTGCCTTTTATTTTCCTACTGTGTGAACAGACTCGTTCATTACCGCAGGCTGCCGAGAGATACTGAGCAGTTTAGCACTTAAACACTTCGCATCTCAAGACCGTGATGTTCATTACCGTGATTTTTGGTGGTAAGTGCAGGATGCAGCATTTATATGTTACATTAATCTGTTTGGGGTCTGTCTTTTATGTTTTTGAAAGAAGTCTCATGTCCACACAGGCTGCATTTATTTGTTCAATAATACAGGAAAACAGTAATATGAAATAGTATTGCCATTTAAAATAACTGTTTTCTATTTTTAAAATGTAATTTATTCCTGTGATGGCAAAGCTGAATTTTCTTCAGTGTCACATGATCCTTCAGAAATCATTCTAATATGTCGATTTGGTGCTCAAGGAACATTTCTTATTATCAATGTTGAAAACAGTTGTGCTTAATATTTTGGAAAACATGTTATATTTTTCTTTACAGATTCTTTAATCAATAGAAAGTTGTCATTATGTTTTATATTATATAGTATATTATATTCCTTTGTTTTTGTGTTTTCAATGTTTTCAAATGTATGTTTCTTACAGAGGGAAGAGAAGAGATACTGAACCTAAATTGCGAGATTATAAACTTCATCCACTGTATAAAAGAAAAATGCAATCTGGATCCCCAAGGTAAAGTTTACTTCAGCTCAGGTCAAACAGAATCATTTCAAAGCTTAAATTGGATTCTCACATGTTTTGAAGGACATAAAAGTTGTGTCTGCCTGTGTAAATCCCACTACCAGTTTGGGGTTTGTTTTAATCAGAAACTCGCTCACAAACTGTTAATTTGAAGTTAAACAGACTCATTAGTGTAGGAGATCTAAAAAAGAAGTGTGCTCTGTAGAGACTGTGGACTTGATGGACAGGACGGGAGAGCTGGTGAACTTGGCAGAGAGAGCGCAGAGCACAGACCTCGTCTGCAGTTTGCTGAAGGAGAGAGAGAGCTATATTCCATTACGTGTGTCACGTGAGTTTCCACTTATCCACTTCAACAACAGATACCACAACAACTGGGAGGAAAATCAGTAAAAACACTATGTTCTCTTGTGCAGGAGGTGAAGGCAGTGAAGGTCCTAAGTATTCTGCAGTGTATGACTTTGGCACAAGTTACCCTGAGCTAGCAGGCAATGCTTCTATATTTCTCTCATTCATCTAAATTAGTACAATAGTTTACAGAGAAATTAGTATCAAGAAAAACAGTGATTGCTTCCTTCCTTTTCCCTTCGTTTTGTTATTTAAACTGATTTTGTGACAAATCCAATTCATTGGCATGTTTACTAATCACAGCAGTTTTCACAATGTGTAGAAATATTTATTTTGGTGATCACTATGGTACATTTTTGTTAGGGATATTAGACTAAATGTCTTTGTGTTGCAGTTGTTGGCTCTCTGTTTAATGTAAACTTTCTTTCCGCTAAATTTAGAGATTCTGAGAAAACTATCAAATCCTTCAAAGGAGAAGGATAGAAAGGGTGGAGCATCTAAAAGGGGAGGAGTCAGTCAAAACCGCAACAAAGCTGCGATCAACTTTAAGAAAGCCATCACAACACCTCGGAACTGAAAACACTCGGGCTATTTCCATGTGTTTAACACTGTTGCCAAAATTGTATTAATAGAATTCATTGTGTTACTCTGTTATATCATTTATATCATATGAAGAATAAATATTGCAGTATATTTGAATACATCTATGGCGAAGGGTTCTAAAAATGGCTTCTTATAAAAAAGATGTTCCTGTTGCTCAATTTACCCCAGGTCAAGTTGATCCGAGTCAGAGGGCACCATCTTGGGTGTAAACTGACCATAACTGAATCTGAATCAAACCCATGTGAATTATTTCACTATTTTGCAAATAGTTTTTTCTCTTTTTCTTAAAACTACCTTAAGCAACATAAAACCAACCAAATTGAGTTCAAATTTCAATATCTTTAATTGTTTCTATTTCTAAAACAAAATGTTAAGCACCAAAGTTGTAACATTCCCAAAAACAGACTAAACAGAGTTTGTTGAGAAAAATTTAATAAAAACTAAATTAGAATTAGAATGAAAAAATATCACTGAAACTAATAAACATTTTAGTCAAAAGGTTCTTAGTTGGCATGGTAGTTTTTCTGCAATGTCAAACATGTTAGGCCATAGGGACTAGGCCTACAGGTCGAAAGATATGTATGATTAAGCATCTTCTGGTTCTTCAGAGAATGATTTGGTGTACTTGTACATTGTTCCTATCAAATAAACTAAAAAAAAAATGAATTAAACCAGTTGTGTAAAATTACATTGTCATTATACCAGGTTATACTTCAGAGATTTAATTTAACTACAGTGCCTTATGGTGGGTGTAGGGCAGGGATGGGCAACTTCAGTCCTGGAGGGCCATTGTCCTACAGAGTTTAGCTTCAACCCTAATCAAACACACCTGAACAAGCTAGTAAGGGTCTTCAGGATTACTAGAAAGTTACATGCAGGTGATTTTTTCAGGGTTGGAGCTAAACTCTGTAGGACAGTGGCCCTCCAGGACCGACGTTGCCCATCCCTGGTGTAGGGTTACAAATTTATTAAAATGTTTAATTTAGATTCCAATACTATAGCATATAAACTGAGAAAGTTTATTAGTGTGAATTTTGTAACTAAGGTAAATTATGTCACAAACCTGGCTGTTCCTGTCTGTCCTGATCTCTCTATTGTAAGTTAAATTGATCAGAGCACTGAGACTATCAGTGCACTGAGGCGGCAGTGGCTCAGTGGTTCATGTAGGTTGTCTACAAACCAGAAGGTTGATGGTTCAATCCCCAGTTCCACCTGATCAAGTGTTGAGGTGTCCATGAGCAAGACACCTAACCCCAGCTGCTCCCGACGAGCTGGATGGCGACTTGTATGGCTGACACCGACGTCGGTGTATGAATGAGTGAGTGAGTGGGTGAATGTGAGGCAAAATGTTAAGCGCTTTGGTGGCCATTGGGTCTGTGAAAGTGCTATATAAATGCAGTCCATTTACCATTTATCACCTTTTGTCGCTGAATGGTCTGGCTGATTAGATTGGTTTCTATGCATTCAAATCACAATGTTATGCTGATTGGATTAGGATTGGTAACACTCTCAGTCTAAGGGCAGGTTCCTAAACCAGTATACCTCATTTACATGCTTTGTTTCAGCGTGTCTCCACTTCTATGTAACCCCTCCCCCTTGAAAGGTATATCAACTACAATGTATATTCCTTAGTCAGACTCTGGGTGAGAAATTTCGATGACTACAGCGCTGTTAGACTTGACGATGACTGCAGCTATCCACAGCTTGTGTTCTCAATAAAGAATCCTGCTGAAGATACAACCAAGTCTCCTGGTTTTCGCTTCTGAGTTTCCTACACTTTAGAAGAAAAAAGTTAACAACAGTGGGGTAAGTTAAAACGTTGGCTCACTTTGCCCCGTAGCTGCCATTTTGGACAAAACTAGCTAGCTTACCAATTCAGGTTAATATTTAGCTAAATAATTTGCATGATTTTATACATTGATAAATCACCATTATGGATCATAAATCATTTTTAGACCTGGACAAATTTGCTTTGATGCAACTGTTATGTTATGCTAAAATTTTACTTTGAAAAGCCAAAAACAGTTTTTAAAGTAGCCTAAATGGGTTTCTTCCACTCTTCCCATATGTATCTCCTTTTCACAGTCTGGTAGAAATGACGGGTGGTTCCAAAATATATGGTCACACATGACAACAAACGTGTACGGTTGCCAAGATAAAGGGTGGGTGTGGGTCACCACTGGCTCATCTTACCCCTCTCCCCCTAAAGCATGTCAGCACAGCTGCAGAAATTGCTTGAAACGTAACAACGCCTACAGGTCATACGACTTGGACTGAAACCTGTTCTGTCTTCCTTGACATGGTAAAATATGAAGAGTCTAACAACAAACCATATGGGATCACTTGGACCCTCTGTTCGTGAACGATTGCATAAGATCTCGAACTGGGCTAGTTAAACAGTAATGCAAATTGAGGTGAATTCACTCTCTCTGCAGGTTGAGCACGAGGACGACAGCTAAAGATGTCTGGAAATGACTTTGAATCGCTAGAGAAGATTCTGGAGGCACATGTACCCGAGGCAGAACTCAGGAACGTCAGAAAACTGCTGTTCGGAAAAGAACTGAAGTGAGTGAGTCACACACGCACTTTCACTACTAAACGCAGACTACACGCCCCAGAATTCAGTTATGAATGGAGGGACGTGCGATGACGGCTAATTTTAATTTTAATATAGCCTACTGTATAATGAAACTAGCCTACATCTGAAACACTTTAGGAGATTTGTCCAAATTGCTAGAAGTTTTTCAGTGTCATTTGTTATAACTAGGCCTAACTGGATGTTCAGTAAAGGTTGAAACTGAGTAAATGATTCATGGTGGACTTTGGCCACAAAAAAGGGGTCTCTGGGCTTAGCGATGGCGTCATTGAGTTGAATTTGATATAAACTCTGACATTTATTTTACTATATATCGCTCTAATAGATGTAAGTGAAACTACTTTTAACGTTTTCATTTTCGCATTATTATAATTTTTTTAAAGTGGACACTTGAACATCATTAGGCTATTACAAATATAACAATTCATTACATAACAATTTCATTCGTACTGAAAAGAAAAACATATTTTGAAGGAGAGAGGACAGTTTGAAATGTATCATGCATTTATTGACCATTGAGCGACAATAATCTCTCAATCTTCCCTATTTGTTTAAATTTTCATAATGTTTAGCAGTTAATCAGCTTTGCAATAAATGCATTTCAGGAAGCTCAGCCTTCCCCAGGGTGCAATAGAAGCTGCAGCGGAGCAAGATTTTGATCTCAAGGGTTATGTGTTTGAGGCTTCTCCAGAACAGCTCAGACCACCCAGAACTGTCCGCGTGGGACTGATTCAGAACAAGATAGTCCTACCCACTGATGCTCCTGTGCTTGAACAGGTGAGAGAAAGAAGTACACACTACATATAATGGCCAGGTGCTAAAACAAGTTTCATCTATTTATCTTTATTAATTTGAATTTGAATTGTATTCTCATTTTGCTTTCACAGATCACAGCTTTGCATAAGCGTGTGGGGGAGATGGTAGAGGTGGCGGCCATGTGTGGGGTCAATATCGTATGCTTCCAGGAAGCCTGGAGTGAGTACACAAACAAACACACACATAAAATTTATGGCATATTTTTAAATCTATTTTATTATACACTTCTTTAAAAAATCAACTCTACAGTCATTTCAAAAACATGCTGAAACATTCATAGTTGACAATTAAAAAAAAAAACATAATTCATGTCAAATCTACATGTGTGATAATTATAAATGAATTTAAAACTATTTTACAAATAATTTTAGATGAAATATAGCATGTCACTCTGCAAGACACTGTTCGACACATGACTAGTCAGAAATATTACTTGTTTTAATTCTATGGGTATCTATAAACCATTTCCTGTTGTCCTCAAGGAAATGAATGTGCTTATTTATGAACAGAGCATATAGGATGGGAAGGCTTCTTGACCTTCAGTGATGTAAGATGCCCGTGAAGACATCAGCAGAATCTGGTTTACATCAGCAGAGCTCAGCAGGGCCGTAGTGACGAAGTTTAAGCTGCGCACACAGTTTGTCTGTTTGTGTTGGCCGTGGCGTGCTGTAGGGATGCTTCCTGATGAATAAGGAGTCTCATGCTCCAATTATAAACTCTCTAGGCATCCCAAAGGTCATTCAGTCCCTTTGGGTCCCAATAGGCCCCGTTGCCCAGGTTTGAACCCCCTTAACCACCACCCCATGTAAACCTTTGACCTCTTGGCTCTGATTTCCTGTGTTTCCATGCAAATCTATGAAGCATGTTTGCTTTGTTAGTAGTCATTAAAAAATGCCATGTAAACAATAATCATTTCGTCATGCTCTAAACAAAACAACAACTGCTAATGAAAAACAAGACCATAAACCTTTCCACTGTACTTCTCATCCTCCCTCTTAGCAAGAAAAACAACATTTTATTGGACACCAAAGAGAATCAATTTCGACAGATTAAAACTCTCATAAATAAAAATCAGTTCTAATGAAATATTTTAGGGGAAACAAATAAGCATCACTTTCTCTCCTGTCTCCTCTCATGTCCTCCACTCTTAGCAATGCCTTTTGCGTTTTGCACACGAGAGAGGGAGCCCTGGACAGAGTTTGCTGAGTCGGCCGAGGACGGGCTCACCACACGCTTTTGTATTCAGGTAAGAATTGAATAAATGGATGTCTTCATATAAACGTTACACTCATCCTTTGCTATGAAGCATCATCTTGATCTTTAGTTATACACTCAAATATTTAACCTCAGTCCCCAAATTAATTATTTGTTCACTCCTCAAACTCAACACGAGGCTGTATTTCTATTAGCATGGACTGAATTGTTTTATTCCCTTGTGCCTATTGCGAAGGGAGTTAGTTTTGATATAGCGCATGTTTGTTTTAACTGGTGCGGTGCTGTGCAGCTGCTTTGAGGCTGGTGATTTGTTAATGGAAGTAGCAGGGGGTTAAGCCCACAGAGGGGACGGGGACGTTCTGACCACGGCGAGAGCCACAGACGATGAGCACTGCAGCACGTAACTGTGGAATCTTCTGACACTGAGCTCTGAGAAATTACATGGCCTCTGACTGTTTACAGAGGAACCGCATCTATCCTTTTGCAAATATGTCCTAAGATGACATTTCTAGCACCAGTGCAGTGGTGTGTTAAAAAGTGTTTTTTTTTTTTGTACACTTTCCTGTTAATATTGTTCAATGGCATTTTTTCATCATGCAGGTTCTTCAAGATCACTAGTAGAGATTATGGCAAAAATTGAGAATAATTTTGTCCATGTTTATTAACTTATTCAAAAATACAATTAGTTCATAAAAATGACTTGAATATACCTCTTCTACAATGAGAATGTTTTCTGAATGAAAATTAATATAATTAATATGAAATAAGCAATACTAAAATAAAACTGTTCTACACTATGATGAGTATGTTTTTAATTTCCGTATTAAAATTCATTGTTTTTTTGTCAGCATAAAAAAGTCAGGGTGATACAACTGTCCTGATATCATAATGAAGAAAAAAAAAGCCTCATTAAAATAATGAAATTCTTGGAAAGAAAACTATATTAAACTTTTATAAAAGTATAAAATTATATTAACTCTATTAAGTAATATAATAATAAATAATAAATGTTATTTATAATGCGCTTTTCTTACACCCAAAGCGCTAATATTAAATGTCTATTCTAAAATCTGAAATATTTTATTAATGTTTAAAAAGACTGCCTAACTGCTTATTAGTATTTGAAAAACTATTGTCACCCAAATCAGTCATGTGTTGTGACTAACATGCAAAAACATGCTGCATAAAAATACATAAAACAAGAAATTCTATCACAGAGATGAATTTGGCATTTTTATGACAAGACAAAGTGATTTAATGTGGAAAAATGTCATGTAGTGCGACCACCCTGCTATGTTCCGCTTGCAGCAGCCATTCCTGCTAATGCTGAAACTATGTGTGCTTGATTTGAATTTTTTCTAGCTGGCCAAAAAATACAACTTGGTGGTGGTGTCTCCCATTTTGGAGAGAGATGAGATCCACGGTGGAACATTGTGGAACACTGCAGTGGTGGTGTCCAATAATGGCGATGTTCTGGGCAAATCACGGAAGAATCACATTCCACGTGTGGGAGACTTCAACGAGGTCGGTGTCACCCTCTGCATAACAGCCGAACAACTGTCAGTGTGACACAACACAGCTACAGTGACACTATATTTACATCAATAGAGTGTCATCACCTATTTACATTAAGCTAACATGAGTTAAGTCAGCTATAAATCAAATTTTAATACACTGCGGTCCAAAAGTCTGAGATCATTAGTGAAAATGCATTTTTGCATATTTTTTATTTATTTATTAAAAAAACATTACAAATTATTTACAAATTGCTATTGTTTTCAAATTTATTATATTAAAAGGAAAATGTCAGAAGGTATATTTGTGACAGCGGCACTCGAGCTGCATGAATTCTTGTTGAATATGAAGTTTGTGTAAAACATTCTCGAGAATGATCCAAAGAGCATCTTGAAATTCAATAGAAAGGACATCTATTCATCTGTACAAAGGTGTCACAAAATTACTTATTTGATAGGTGACACAAATAGTACAGAATCTCTTATTCGTTTATGTTTTTGAAATCCCATATAGTTATCAGTATTTTGTGCTGCTGCTGCGTGGGTACTGTATGTCTAAATCATATTGGATAACTGAAAAGTTGTTCAGTACAGCCACTTTAGAAATTCTTCTTTTCAGAGATTTGTTCCAGCATGTTGGGTGTAATTTTTCACCTCCAGGTTAAACGAGTGTGTGTGCGTGTGTATCTGCACTACATCATCCGTGGCACTTTAAGTGGTTGATTTCTCCCTGTGCTGTTTATCAGTTGTTCTTTTGATCCATTCCACACTGTGATAATGCTCAATACAGGAAATGTGCCCACTTTCTTTTCCTGGAACACAAGTGTAACTGCAGGAACCAGATGACAGAGACGGCTCTATTCTGTTGTTTTCAGTCAAATAAAGGAGAATTTTGATGGCATGCTGATTAGCATCAGATATATTTAAAAGGTTTACACATAAACACTGTTTTACGTTGTCATTTTTTAAGTACAGTCAACTTGGATGTTTAAGTCATTTCAACGTGAAATACATTAAACTGACTTAAAAAATAGTATAATATAAAAGTTGTCTGCGTCTGAATATGCATATTTTCACAGCAATAGCAATCCACAATAATCCAACGATCCAATCAATTCCCGATGGACAAAATCAAGTCCAGTCCTACATTTTTTCCTGTTCGGGAAGCCGTTTCACTCGAATATACAGTCACACAGGGAAGAAAAGACTATCACAACTTCAGTTTCATGTCGATTTGAATGCATCAAAGGGTTAAAGAAATATTAACGAGTGTATTATAGCCTACTGATAGCTAGTACTAATGTATGAAGTGTTGCTTTTCTGCATGATAGGCTACTGATGTTGCATTTCCATAAATCATCTTTTTCATTCTTCCTCTAGTCTACATATTACATGGAAGGCAACACCGGCCACTCTGTATTCCAGACGCAGTTTGGAAAAATCGCTGTTAACATCTGTTACGGCCGACACCACCCTCTCAACTGGTTAATGTACAGCATACATGGGGCTGAGATCATCTTTAACCCCTCGGCCACAGTTGGATTGCTCAGGTATCGTGTTGTTCTCATGGGAAAGACGCAGAGCCCGTATTCCCTCATGCTGATGCAGGTTTTGTGTTACAGTGAACCAATGTGGTCGATTGAGGCCAGAAATGCAGCCATCGCAAACCACTGCTTCACCTGTGCCATCAACCGGGTGGGAACGGTATGTGCCACCTGTTGTCCTATAACTGTGCCAAATATTGTTTAAACAATCTTAAAAATGACATAAATTACGCTCCTGAGTCTAAAATACATACAGAGATTGCCAGGAAATGTCCTGTTTACCCTAACTATGCGCATACTGTGATAATATCACAACCACAGCTGAAGTAAACTATATATATTCTAATAAGATTAGATAAGCACATGCTAATAATTTAAACAGGATTATAAGCCAAACTGCAAATAACGTTACACAGATGAAAAAACAAGTTGAGCGGTGCCTTTTTTTTTTCTGTGGCTCTGTAGAGTCTGGTCTCTGTTAGTGGTTATAATGTCTTAGAGGGATGACTTTTATTCTCAGAGTTAGATACAGTAAACCAATTATCTTTAAATTGGTTTTAAATGGGAGTTATTTGCACAGTCTGTTATGCAGTGCCTCTCATAAAGCGTTGGATGTTCAGATATGTGTTTTCTGCTGCCCTCTATTGATGATTTCTGCACAGAAGTGACCCGAGCCTTTGAGTTTTGACGTAGATCTCTCTTTTCCAGGAGTATTTCAAGAATGAGTTCACATCTGGAGATGGAAAAAAAGGTATCCATTTAGTTTGAGTATGTGCATGTATCTGCGTATGTGAAAAAAATTGGTTTCCATAACAAATATTAAGCAGCACAACTGTTTTCAACATTGATAATAAGAAGAAATGTTTCTTGAGGAGCAAATCAGCATATTAGTATGATTTCTGAAGGATCGTGTGACACTGGAGACTGGTGAAATGATGCTGAAAATTCAGCTTTGCATCACAGAAATAAATGACATTTTAACATATATTAAAAGTTATTTTAAATTGTAATCATTTTCACAATATTACAGTTTTTACTGTATTTTTGATCATATAAATGCAGCCGTGGAGAGCATAAGAGACTTCTTTCAAAAACATTACCGACCCCAAACCTTTTGAACAATAGTGTTTACATAGCATGGTTCCTGTGTAATGAAGACATTTAGTGAGATCAATTTTTCATAAGTCACTCATAGATGGCACTCTCAGCCGAGTAAATCAATTTGGGTCAAAAACCTAAAGATACTTCCTGTCGGTATTCACATGTGAGTACAGCTGGCTCTTTCCCATAGCTTAGTGTTGCTGTGTGTCAGCACATAAATGATCTGTGTATCTGTCTGTCAATCTAGCATCTGTGCCGTGACGGGCTGAGGACAAGGGACCTTGTTCAAAGGTGTCGTGTTCCTAAAGCTCTGGTCTGTCAGGCTCTGTTCTCACTTTCAGCCCTCATTACTGTTGCATAAGCCTTTCACCTGAACACAAACCCCCCTCTGCTGTTTTACATGCATGTACAGCCTCCATGTAACATGACCAGGGTCACACAGACATATGCCACAAACATATACAAGGGCAGTTTTCCATGAATAGGGTACAAAATACAGTCTAAAACTACTTAATAATTAACTATTTTTTCTTTCCCAACACGATCAGTGAAACGAGATGCTTAACCTTCAGAAAATGTTGAATGTCAGCCTCAGGAGATGAAACTAGATATTATATTGTTGTATTATTTTTCATACATTTTTTATGGGGTTTGCATGTTTTGCAACCCTATTAGCAAAATTTGGGACGTGAGTAAATTGTTTAAACTGATATGTAGCTGAGTTAATAAACATGAACACAAAAATTGACAGACGAACTGTTAAAACAAAGAAAAAAAACTATGCCAGAATGGGTAATTTGGGATCAAATGTTGATTTGTAGTTAGTAAACATATGCTTCCATTTATAAGTTTGGGGTCAATAATATAGGCTAAGAAATTAATACTTTTTTTCAGCAACGACACATTAATAAAAAGTGACAAAGCCATTTACAATATTGCAAAAACGTTCCTAATTCAATTAAATGCTGTTGTTTTGAACTTTCTATTTATCATAGAATACTAAACAAAAATGTGTCTGTTTCTAAAAAAATATTACGCAGCACAACTGTTTTCAACATTGATAATAATAAGAAATGTTTCTTGAGCAGCAAATCAGCATATTAGAATGATTTCTGAAGGATCATCTGACACTCAAAACTAGAGTGAAAATTCAGCTTTTCCATCACAGGAATAAATTACATTTTAAAATACATTAAAATAGAAAACTATTATATTAAATTGTAACAATATTTCACAATATTCCTTTTTTTACGTGTTTTTGATCACATAAATGTAGCCTTGGTGAGCATAAGTGACTTACCGGTATTTTAAAATCACAAAAAAAAAAAAAACTTAGTGAATTCAAACTTTTGAACGGTGGTGTGCATTTATTAAATGATTTCTGATTTGCCTTATCCATAGCGCACCGTGACTTAGGCCACTTTTATGGCTCCAGCTACGTAGCTGCTCCTGATGGCAGCAGATCCCCGGGATTATCCAGAACCCGCGATGGCCTCCTGGTGACAGAGCTGGACTTGAACCTAAATCGCCAAGTTGCTGACAAATGGAACTTCAAGGTGGGATAAAAATCAATACAGCACATACATTTCTTTCAGGAAGATATCTCATCATGATCACCATCAGAGAGGTTTATTCTCTTTAATAAAAGTCATATCCTATAGATATTGAAAGAGGACAGTCTATAGTAGTGTCTGTGTGCCATTAACACATATGAATCTCTCCACAGATGACCGGGAGGTATGAAATGTACGCAGAGGAGCTGAAAAAAGCCGTCCAGCATGACTTCAAACCCAACATTGTTAAGGAGTGAGTGCCAAAAGCCCCTGAGAAGAACTGTGCTTTCTCCTGAAAGCCAAACTCTGCAGATGCAGGAGAACCACATTATGTTTTAGGGATATGTGCTTGTCTCTCTACTTGAATTTCACAAAATAACTTCACATAATTTATATAATTTATCAGTTCATTTTCAAGGTCAATAATGGAAATGATGCATTTGATTAAAATACAAATCCAACTTTTATTCATTTCCTAAATGCAACTATATATTTCATAAAAATAAAGTTTGCCATATCAACATTCCTTATGTTCTTTTAAAAATAAGCACAAACTGATGTAATCGGACACCTGATGCAGTCTTAAAAAAAAAAAAAAAAAAATCACAAAAATAACATTTTAACATGAATGATCAAAGATTAAATAACAGAATTATGGCTGGTGGAACACCATAGTGCAAGCATTTCATTCATCTCCCATTTTGTCGAGATTGAACCATCTGAACCACTGAGCAGGCGTAGTGTGTTTACAAGCAAACAGCAAAGCATTCACAACACTGTGTTCAGACCATTTCAAACGGTGCCCGACTCTATTCCACAAAACAACTGACGTAAAACTCCAAACGTAGTGTTCCTGTTCTCTCTCTGATGACACTGACACATTATAATAATGAGAATTTACCAACAAAATATTGTCTTTAACACAGAAATGGGTCTAATACTGTACTAATGCTGAGTGAGTTTGAAATGTACTGTATGGTTCACAGCTTATCGCCCACAAAGCAGCCAAACTCTCTCTTGCTACTCTACATGAGGATATGACAGACGTCCAGGTGATTTTGTTCTTGAGGAAACCCCCCGGAGTAAATGAATCCACACGTATTGCACCCCTGAAACATTTCTTTCCCGACAGTGGGACATAATTTAGCATACTGGATTTTTCATATCTAACCTGAGTTTTTAAAAACAGCTTCCCTCTTTCACAAAAATTAAAATCTTTTACTGTATGCTCAATTAAGTGGCTTTCAAGAGGGAAAAATGAAACAAATTATAATAATCGCAACCCCATGATTTTGCAAGGTTACCCTGAACAATCACAAAATCTCCATCATTACATTAATGAAAAACATTATGTACACTCCTCCTCTACCTCTTACAGTGGCAGAGACTATATAAATCAAATGTGCTAGATAAAAATATAAGTCCACATCACAATAATGATGAGTTACATATACATAGCATCTCCCTTTCCTTTCTGTGAGAATATTTCATTCTGTGGCCGATGTAGCACCATAGTAATGTTTTGTGCGACACTACAGCACTTATGAGGACCATAGCCAGAGGTGACACATACTACCCGCTATTGGCCAGCAGAACTGGTACGTGCTACCTGTTGGCAAAAATGCTACTCAGCCAACCACAGTGGATGCTAAAAGTGTGTTAAATGTGTGTTCGTTCAAAAGCGGTCAAGACTCAATCATCTTTGTAGATTAACAGAATGTCCTCGTCCGTTCCGTAGCTCCTTCTGGCCTCCTCAAAATTGCTAAAGCTAGTGCAGCACACACCTGTCAATCAAAGTGATAGGCATATATGAGACACACAGTTTTAATGTTCCCGCAATGTGTAAAGATTCTCAGTTATAAAAAATAACCATAATAAACTATAATAAATGAGGTGGATGTTTCTAAGATGTAAGTGGCCTCAAAAAAAGTATTTGATACTTAAAAAATTTATAAATTGCATTAGATAATGAAGTATCAAACATATCAAAAAGGCATCTGCAAACAAATCCAAGGTGGTTTGACAATCTGCGCATATATATATATATATATATATGAGCCAAAATATTATGACCAGTCACAGGTGAAGCGAATGTCATTGATCATCTCCTGACAAGGCCACATTTTACTGCCTGGTTAGATCAGATGGCAAACAATCAGTTTTCATAATCAACGTATTGGATGCAGGAGAAATGCAGGAGGATCTGAGCGACTTTGACAAGCCACAAACAGGTGACAACGAAGGCTATCTCGTCTGGTCCGAGCCAACAGAAGGTCTACTGTGGCACAAGTCGCACAGAATGTTAATGATGGTTATGGAAGGAATGTGTTACAACAAACAGTGCATTTGTGAAAGGGTTGTGTAGCTGCAGACCAATCAGAGTGCCTATGACGACCCCTGTCCACCATCAATGGGCACGCGAGCGTTGGAACTGGACCTTGGAGCAGAGGAAGAAGGTTGCCTGGTCCAATGAGTCAGAGTCCTATACGCGCGATGCTAATATTTGATGTGACGGGTGGAATAATATTTACGTGGTCATTTACGGTGCGGGGTGCAGGTCGGGAATTAATAGGCACGAGCGGACTGCGGGTCAAATAGCAAAGACTATTTCTATTTCGACTCAATTCGGTACCCACTGATAGCCAGCTGGTTTCAACCGGTCCCGTGCAGTGTTCACGTTCTACAGTCTAAAGAACGTCAAAGGTTTCTAATTACAACGCGATCTGCAGCATTGAGCACAGCGTTTGCATACAGTGATTGACAGATTCAGTCATAAGCGAGTGCTCTTTGCTCGCTTTCAGTATATAATCTATTCACAATTTGAATAAAAGTTTTATCTTTCATGCTGCTAAGAGGATCAACTGCCACATATACACTGCAGAGTTTCAGGAGAGACAACCGCATTTGCATGCAGAGTGAATCTGCAAAAATAACCCAAATTTTATATGACAGTAAAGGCTCATATTTGGTTATATGTTCTTTTAATTTTTAGAGACATCTAAGCGTGTGTGATTTATGGACATTTGTTGAAAATAGCCTGTATGGGCAGATTGTTCACATGATGCAGGCAAAAGTTTTGTATTGTTTACACGATGGATGCAAGTTCTCATCTTTTTTTCCTTTTAATTATTACCATGTTGGCCTGCATGTCTATTTTTCATAAATGCATCAACTCAGAATGCATAATGTTGGGTTTGATTGCTTGTGTTAAATAAATCATTTTTGTCTATCTGATGTAGATTTAATGCGGGATGCAGTTCGGGTCGCGGTCTTTATGTCAAACAGGACGAGTAGGGTACGGAATTAAATTAGTGCTGCTGTTGGATAACGGGTCGGCGTTCTGTTAAGTACTGTGGGTGTGGGGCAGGTGCGGGTTTACCTAACAGGACCAATGCAGGACTCTGCAATGAGTCCTCTTTTCTTTTACCTCACGTCGACGACAGTATACGTGTTTGCCTGGGGAAGTGATGGCACCAGGATGCACTTTGGGACAATGAGCCGGTGTGATGCTCCGAGCAATGTTCTGCTGGGAAACCCTGTCTGGCCATTCATGTGGACGTAAATTTGACATGTGCTACCTACTGTACCTAAACATTACTGCAGACCAGTTACATCCCTTCATAACAGTGGGGTTCCCTGGTGGAAGTGGATAATGCTTTCAGCAGGATACTGCACCCTGCCACACACATTGTTAAGGAATGGTTTGAGGAACCTGATGAAGAGTTCAAGGTGTTGCTCTGGCCTTCAAATTCCCCAGATCTCAATTCAGCATCTGTGGGACGTGCTGGACCAACAAGTTCGATCTACGGCGGCTTCACCTCGCAGCCTACAGGACTTGAAGGATCTGCTGAAACCGTCTTGGTGCCAGATACCACAGGACACTTTCAGGACCAATAGCATATTAGGTAGGTGGTCATAATGTTTTGGCTCATTGGTATATGTGTGTATATGTAATATAGTATAATAATGCCACTTGGTTTGATATTTCGTTATCTAATTAAATTTTAGCAAAACTGGTATTTAGACTTATCCAAAATTCTCAATACATACGGTCTGAGTAGGCGGGATTGTTGTAGAAGACGCTGCCGGTATTGCGGTTAAATCCACACACCACCACGAAGTGGCCCTGGTAATCTGGCTTCCTGCAGAAGCACTTCTGACCCACAGGGAGGAAACAGCAGTATTTGACAGGCGTGGAGCACAGCTCACACACCAACACCACTGCGTTGACCAGCACGATGGCCACATGACCCTGTTCCAGGTGGCTCTGGATCTCCTGAACTGCAACAGAGCTACAAGAGACAGATGTCATCAGATTTCTTCATGCACTGCACAGGAGTTTCAGCTGAGATATATTTTCATAAAATCTGGTAAACTTCAGATATAATGGACCGGTAAATATATATACACACAAGGATAAATGTCAGAAATTTGATACTATTTCATCTAAATGGATTTTAAAAAAACAAAATCAATTGTTTTCGATTGATTTGAAGCATTCCTGTAGCTCCATCTGTAGAGCATGACAATCGGAGAATGGGTACGATTCCCAGGGAATGCATGAACGGAGAAAAAAATGGCTTCAATGCAATGTAAATCACTTTAGTAAAAATAAAATAACATGGACATGATTAAATGCATAATTAAATATACAATATCATTGACAGCAATAAATAAAAAGTCTTCAATATGGCCCAATAACTCGTATATTGTGCATGGCTAATTTTTGACCCATGAATTGTCATGACTTTTCCAGTCATGTTTGATTACAGCATAAACACTTTCTAGTGTTTAGACAAGTCCCCTGACATTTCTAGGGTTTCCATGATGGTGGTAAACCAGTATATCAAGCACAAAGTTGTCAGCATGCTCCACAGAACAGAACAAATGTGGAAAAACCTCACCATTTCTTCACCAGGACCCCTTTGCTCTCAGCCTTCATAAAGAGTTCATTCACCCTGTCCTCCTCGGTTTCAAAATGCTTTTTGTAGAAAGACTGAAGCAGGAGAACAAAGGAAACGGAAAAATGATTCAGATGCCAAGGTGAACAGTTATAACATCTGAGTCAGGACTGATCCTTTAACTAAAATTACAACTCCACAACCATAAAAACCAATGCTTTAACATTGTCTTTTTCTTGGAAATATGCATGTGACACAAAGCTTGTACTCTAATCTATCCTCAGTGATCATGACACTGACAGCAGCTCATATACCTGGTTCCTGAAGCCCTTGTCCACACCGAGAGTCTGTGTGCAGAAGCAGTGTCTGACCCCCAGCTTACACATGAGATAAGCCAGGTCTATAGTCCACACGCTCTCTGTGAACTCCAAGTCCAAACACGCTCTCTGAAATTCCTCCTCACTTACTGGATGTAAATACCTGCACACACACACACAAACAAACGTTTAAATACTTATCATTAGGGTAATTGTTGCAGGATAATACATCACTTAAAATGCATACTTACTCCAGTACCATTCTGGAACAGGCCAAGCCACAATCCCAGTGGAACAGCTGCCGGATGACCGGTACGTTTAGCATCACATCATCTGGCAGAACAAGGTCAGAAAGGAAGCTGGTAATATCAGTGTGCCACAATGAGCAGCTTTTGATCTATTCACATTATCATAAATTAATATGTTCGAGGACTAATTGGCTTTGGTTATGAACTGAATGATATCAAGCCACTCATTATATTCACGTAAAACAGGTGAATGAGAGTGAATAACAACTTAAAAGTTAAACACAAGCAGCTTCAGGATAATACATGAACTGTTAATTTCTTCATTTTAATTAAATATATCCGGGTTGTGTGTTTGGTCCAGTATTGTATGTCAGAGGATCATGATTAAAATGCTAGTGGGGTAAACAGTTACAAGCCATCTAAGATGTTTCATTCGAATGTCATTTAACACGAACTCACCGTTCATGATTCAGTCTGCGTGTGTCTCTCTCTGTTGTTGTGTTGCAGTGATGTTTAATAGCAGGGCTTGATTCATGAAGACTGTCTGCTAGCGGGGTTAGCCGGACAGCCGCATGCCCTCCTGTCCTCTACATCAGACACGCTAAAAACTGTCCATCTTGCTGATGCTGATGAGGCTGTTGGTGAAAAGCGATGAAACTGCTACAAACTCGACTTGTTTAGTCCACGCCTTGTGGTGGTCGTTCTCAGGGATGAATGTTTCACTTCCTGTCAAACCAAATGTGCGTCGGTGCATCGAGGAGAGGCAGAACTGCGCCCTCTGCTGGAAAGACGAGAAATGACAGTAAGACGCAACCTCCAAACTAAAATCTATTATATTCTCTGCCTATTTATAAATGCCTTATATTAAGACAGTGGTGGAAGTGGCCGGTATTCACTGGGGGCACTCTAGTTGGCGATGTATTTTATATTTTAAAACATGCAGAAAATCCTGTTTCGAGGCTGTTACGTGGATAAAAGATGGAAATCCTCTACATTTTGAACTGAAACTCCCTTGAAATTCACCCCCAGAGAGAAGCCTAGAAACAGAATTAATACATCTAATCACTTTGTTCTTCTCAAACTGAGTGAATACTATACAGGTTTGTATTTATTTATTTCAACATAAATAAAAAGATGAACCAGGATATTTACAGAATGTCTCGAATAAATTGATTTAAATTATATGATTATATTCTATTTTAAGGAATTCATAAGCATTTTAAATTAAACAAAAGCTGAGTGAATGCATGTATGTCGATCTTTGGTATCCCCCCAAAACAAACTAAAAGAAAAGTTTGGTTATAAATGGCACTTGTGGAATTAAATGACTGTAAATCAGTCCAGTAGGTGGCAGTGCGTGTCTCCTGTAAGTTACAATAAAATCCCCGGAAATTCTAAAGAACGCCGAAGAAAAACTGTTTGTGGACGGTCTTTGCACGTTTGGGTGAGAATTTAATCATTTTTCTGAAAAATAGGTAAATTGGAACGTGTCTGTCGGGAATTGTTTGTAGATTTGTGTTCAAATAATTAACTTTAGTTGTGTGGGGTTTTTTTCTTGCTTGTTTACGAACAACCGCAATATCTTGTGTCTGACCCATTCATTTAGTGACAGTCTATTCAACTTCCACTAGCTTTCACCTCGTAATACAAAGATTGACCTTCTGTCGAAGTTATTTCTCATCTGCCAACTGTTCAGAAGGGTCTCATTTTCTCTCTCTCACGGTTGACAGACAACGTGTTAATAAGATGTCGATTGGAGTGCCCATCAAAGTTCTTCATGAAGCAGAGGGACACATAGTCACCTGTGAAACCAACACTGGGGAGGTTTACAGGGGCAAACTCATTGAGGCTGAGGACAACATGAACTGCCAGGTACTAAGATTTGGCATATGTACTGAATACTGATTTAAGGCATGAAAATAAATGCTTATCTAAAAGATGCATTATTTTACCCTTATAGATTTTATACTGTAAGTTGAGTTTTTAGTTTTATCAGTCTTTGCATTGGATCTTATTATTTGAATTCATAAGGTTTGCACCTGTTTTATCAGTCTTTGCATTGGATATTTGAATTCATAATAAGGTGTGCACCAAGTAAAAACACTCTTGAAAGTTTGCCTTATTCTTTACTTTCCATCTTCAATTTCCTCCAGATGGCAAACATCACAGTCACATTCAGGGATGGCCGTGTATCTCAGCTGGAGCAGGTGTATATTCGTGGCAGTAAGATCAGGTTCCTCATCCTCCCCGACATGCTGAAAAATGCTCCCATGTTAAAGAGTATGAAGAACAAAAATCAGGCAGCTGGTGCAGGTCGAGGAAAAGCAGCTATTCTCAAAGCCCAAGGTATATACAGCCTCTTGAACCCAGTCCACACATCTTGCATCAGAAACATGTATTTTTCAGAGAATTAATGTGATGTTATTTATATTGTTTGTTGTAAAGATGATATCAAGCTATGTTTGCATTAATGTTTTTGCAGTGGCTGCCAGAGGACGTGGACGTGGTGGACCAGGACGAGGGAACGTATTCCAGAAGAGACGCTAGTTTTATATTGATGCCTTTTTTTTACTGTAAACTTTACTGAATTTTTTTTATTCATAATTTTACCAGCTTTTTGGTTTGATCTATTTTATAATGGTCCTTTTATGCTTGGAGAAATAAATGGGCGATTTTTCAATTGATTATGTGAGTTTTTTTGGAGGGGGCAGTTTTTGTTAACGTTTATAATTTTGTATACTCTATTTATCGGTCATACTAAATGAGCTGTCAAGTACTAAGATGTACTACAGTGAAGACACATTTAAGTGCATTTTCTGTTATAATTATAGCATATAAGGTGTTCAGGAGCTGTTGGTCATTGCTGAGAGGATTCAACCACTTGATTTTCATGGGTTTTGCACGGTTATAGACATTAAGTTGCAAATGTGCCGAGTGCAAATGCTACTGGTACTGTTTAACCAAATACTTGCAGATGGCTAGCCGTGCTTATCTTAACACATTCATTATTCCTGTATGATAAGAAATTACATTCAAAGCATGTGTAAATTCTATTGAGAAGTGTAGTAGATATCAGGCTACAGGAAAACGCATAGTGTTCTGACCTTACATCAAGTACTGTTGTTTCATAGTGGACATTTCTTCAGCAATGGGCTCTAAGTGCGGCTGTTGTCTTTTTGAATATCAAACACCTGTAACGCTGGTTATTAGGAGCAAAAGAATAGGAGTCCTCTTCAGACTGATAGAGTTATTGATCATCGCCTATGTCGCCATGTGAGTATATTGTTAGATAATTCATAGCCTTATTGCACTTCAAAAGAAATATTGATTACATCTACTTGTATTCATTTAATTTAAGTCACTGTGAATAAGAATGTAATTTGATTTAATTCGAACGGGGTGTCCATCCCTGCTCATGCAGAGTTTAGCTCCAACCAGCTCTAACACTTTTACCTCCAGGAGCAAGTTTGGATGCCCCTGAATTAGAGCTTGACAAGCCTATTGTTGTACAGTACTGTGCAAAAGTCTTAGACACGTTAGTATTTTAAGCCAGTTATTTGTATTTTTTGCTGTAGTGTTTCAGTAGCAAATATCAGTATACATTTCCAAACATTCATTTTGCCAATAATTGTAATAATCCAGTGAGATTTTTGTATGCAGAAGGAGTCTGACAACAGCCGGTACTCCACATGGAGATCTGATCTCACCATCAAGTCTGTCTGTGATCACACTTGTGTAAAAATGCTGTAAAGTGAGGATGCTTTCAAAAATAATGTCATAAACAGATTTTATTTATCTATTAACTACATCAAATCAATATTTGGTGTGACCACCCTTTATGTTTAAAACAGTTTTTGTCCTAGGTAGACATGCGCATAGTTTTTGTTTTTTCATGTGATCACAGACAGACATGATGATAGTGAGATCAGATCTTCGTGTGGAGCACCGGCTGTTGTCAGACTCCTTGTGCATACAAAAATCTTACTGGATTATTACAATTAATGGCAAAAGGAATGTTTGGAAATGTAAACTGATATTTCCTACAGACACACTACAGAAAAATGTATAAAACAAAACCATTTTCTTGGGGTGAAAATACTAACATGCCTAAGGTTTTCGCATAGGACTGTATATTACTTACACATTTAAGCGTGTCATGTTCTCCTTGAAATTCAATGCAGTCTTGGCTGTTCAGGGTAACTCCATATCTGTATACTTTTTAAAGATATGTCTGCTGGTATCAGCGCGCTTACCAGGACCAAGACTCAGTGATCAGCTCAGTCAGCACCAAGGTGAAAGGAAACATTTTGACCAATTCATCCATTGAGGGAGTTCATGTTTGGGACGTATCTGAATATGTCATCCCACCCCAGGTATCTAATTTGTTTGACAGAAACCCATTGCAGAGGAAATGCAGTGGTTTCTCTGTAAAAATACAGAGTTCATTTGTTTGTCCAACAGACGTATGCATTTTGTAGACCTTAATTCCAAATTCAAGCAATCTTTTTATTTTTATTTGTTTTGTAGGGAGAAAACTCTTTCTTTCTGTTAACAAATATGATTGTCACTCCTGGCCAGACCCAGAGCAGCTGTCCTGAGGTACGATAAAACAGATTTGCATATGTCCATTCTCACACATGAAGGGACCGTTGCACGTTGCATTATGAATGATTCCTTTTTACAGATTCCAAGTGAATTCACTAATTGTAAATCAGACAGTGATTGTAAAGAGGGATTCAATGAAATCCGTGGCAATGGTGAGTTTTCATGTTCTGCATAACGCTGCACAATATTAGAGATGTGAGACGCAAATCAATGCCACAAAGCAATCTCTATGATCCTCCTCACAGGTGTTCAGACTGGCCGATGTGTACAATACTCAGATACAATCAAAACCTGTGAGGTGATGTCATGGTGTCCACTTGAAAATGATACCATCATTCCAAAGTGAGTTTCTTTAGTAAAAGTGAACAAGTTTGATGCCATTTGCACAATTGAAACTGGGAATATTAATATAGTTTGTGATCGTACAGACCTGCTCTTCTAAGTGCAGCGGAGGACTTCACAGTGCTCATCAAAAACAACATACAATATCCAAAGTTCAGTTTCAGAAAGTAAGTTCATTCATTTGTAGGTCATGCACTTTACTCATAGATGAACAGAAACAACATGGTAACATTATGATAATCATTTAAATCTAAGGTCTTCAATGATGACTGGTTGGTTGGTTAAATTCAAATTTGAGCTATGTGAATTTGATCCTTTCAATGTCATGTTTTGTGTTATTTCTAGGCGAAACATTCTGCATCACATCAACTCCACATACTTAAAAAACTGCACGTTTAATCGTAAAACAGACCCACACTGTCCTATTTTCCGTCTGGGGGACATTGTAACCGAGGCAGGAGAAGACTTCAGCGTCATTGCTCTTAAAGTCTGTATCTTCAATAATGCTATTCAGTTGTTATCAAAATTATTCAACCCCTATTGCAAATCAGGTTTATTGGCAATTAAGTCTGTAAACAAAAGTAATTGAAATAGCTCAACACAACAAATGTTTCAAGTGGTTTCCCCAAATTCAACTGAAAATGCAACTTTTAATGGCTTCTGCAGTCTAAAAATTATTCAACCCCCTGAATAGAATTCCTCACAACAGCGCAAATATGCAATACAGGTGTTGTCTCGAGCACACCTAATGCAAACTAATCACGGGCTTCATTAGTAGCACCAGGTGTTCTTGAGCTAGAACACATGAAATGCCTGATCTAGCTAGGTTTGTTGAGTGTCACGTTTGTCTGCATGTTAGAAGTCAAAAGAATGGTCCAAATAGTTAAGAGAATATATCATCAGCCTTCACAAACAAGGATCAGGATACAAAAAGATAGCCAAGGCACTAAATGTTCCTAGAGACACCGTTGGAAGCATAGGTCACAAGTTTAAAGTTAAAGGGTTAGTTCACACAAAAATGAAAATTAAGTCATTAATTACTCACCCCCATGCTGTACCAACCCCGTAAGACCTTCGTTCATCTTCGGAACACAAATTAAGATATTTTTGATTAAATCTGAGAGCTGGATCACTGCTACATAGGCTTCCTAAGGGAATGACACTTGACGGCCCAGAAAGTCATTAAAGAAAATGTTTAAATATTCCATGTGCCTACAGTGGCTCAACTATAAGTTTATCAAGCGACGAGAATACTTTTTATGCGGAAAAAAACAACAAAAATAACGACTTTATTCGACTATTCCATTGCTTCCTTGTTGGCCTGAGACGAGGGTTCAAGAGATTTCCAGGACTCATGCGCGAGAACTGACCTTCTTCTTCTACTACTATGTACAGCGCGCGTCTTCCTCTGCTTGTAAGACGCGCGCTGTGTAGTAGAAGAAGAAGGTCAGTTCTCGCGCATGCGTCCTGGAAATCTCTTGAACTCTCATCTCAGGCCCACAAGGAAGCAATGGAATAGTCGAATAAAGTCGTTATTTTTGTTTTTTTCCGCACAAAAAGTATTTTCGTCGCTTGATAAACTTATAGTTGAGCCATTCCCTTATAGTGTCATTCCCTTAGGAAGCCTATGTAGCAGTGATCCACCTCTCAGATTTAATAAAAAATATCTTCATTTGTGTTCCGAAGATGAACGAAGGTCTTACGGGGTTGGTACAGCATGGGGGTGAGTAATTAATGACTTTTCATTTTTGGGTGAACTTTAAAGGAACAGTGGTTACACTGCCTGGACGGGGCAGAAAAAGAATAGTTGCCATGAGATTTATGAGAAGGCAGATTCAGGAAAACCCTTGAATGACTGCAAAAGATCCGCAGTAAGACTTGATAGCAACAGGCACTGAGGTTCCAGCTTGGACAGTAAGGCGCGTACTAAACTCATGCGGTTTCCATGCCAGAACTCCAAGACGTACACCACTACTGACCCAAAAGCACAAGAAAAGTTGGTTCCAATTTGCTCAAAATCATATATATAAGCCAGAGAAGTTTGGGGATTCTGTACTGTGGAGCGATGAAACAAATTGGAACTTTTCTGCCCTATGGATCAGTGGTATGTCTGGAGAAAGAAGAATGAAGTATATGCTGAAAAGAGCACTCTGTCTACAGTCTACCATGGTGGTGGCTCGGTGATGCGTTAGGGGCTGATTTGCATCCTCTGGAACTGGAAACCTGCAGTGTGTGGAAGGCAAGATGTATTCATTGAAGTATCAGGAAATCCTAGGAGAAAACGTTTGCCATCATTGAGGAAGCTGAAGCTTGGGCATCATTGGACCTTCCAACAGAAAAATGATCCCAAGTATACCTCAAATTCCACCAAGGCTTGGTTGCAGAAGAAGTCCTGGAAGATTCTACAGTCGCCATCACAGTCACCTGCCTTGAACCCCTTGCAGCACGCAGACCCAAGAATATTACTGAACTGGAGGCCATTGCTCATGATGAATGGGCTAAGATTCCTCAAAAACGCTGCCAGAAGCTGGTGTCTGGTTATATATCTCGTTTGCAGCAGGTCATAACAGCAAAAGGGTGTTCTACTGAGTACTAAAGATGCTTGCCATGAAGGGGTTAAATAATTTTGAGACTGCAGAAGTCTTTAAAATTTGCATTTTCAGTTGAATTTGGGGAAACCCCGAAACATTTGTTGTGTTGAGCTATTTCAATTTATTTTGTTTAATTTGTTCATTGCAAATAGCTGAAAGTCTGTAAATTTTGCCAATAAACCTGATTTGCAATGGGGGTTGAATAATTTTGATTACAACTGTATATCTGTATTACTTATACACTACTGTTTAAAAGTTTAGGGTCAGAACAATTTTTTTTTTAATACAACATAATGGATGCTTTTATTCAGCAAGGATACATTAAATTGTGACAGTAAAGACATGTTACAAACGATTTCTATTTCAAATAAATGCTGTTCTGTCATGACAACTCTCAGACTGTTTGGCATGGTAATATGGAAATGTTGAATTGTTTGGTCTTTGACAGAATAGATCAAGGGGTATTCCAGAAAGCAGGTTATGTGACATAGCCGGGTATGTTTAAGGGCAAGTAAGCGGATAACCTCAACTTTCGGTTCCAAAAACGAAGGTAACTTTCATGGTATGCAAGTTGCCATAGCAACTGAGGCTCCAGTGGGCGTAACAGATTGCGCACAATATTATAAATAGCTAAAGCACTATTAAAACAAGGTAATGTTTATTTTTTTAGTATAATATATACAGGTCCTTCTCAAAAAATTAGCATATTGTGATAAAGTTAATTATTTTCCATAATGTAATGATAAAAATTTAACTTTCATATATTTTCGATTCATTGCACACCAACTGAAATATTTCAGGTCTTTTATTGTTTTAATACTGATGATTTTGGCATACAGCTCATGAAAACCCCAAATTCCTGTCTCAAAAAATTAGCATATCATGAAAAGGGTCTCTAAACGAGCTATTAACCTAATCATCTGAATCAACTAATTAACTCTTAACACCTGCAAAAGATTCCTGAGGCTTTTAGAAACTCCCAGCCTGTTTCATTACTCAAAACCGCAATCATGGGTAAGACTGCCGACCTGACTGCTGTCCAGAAGGCCATCAATGAAACCTTTAAGCAAGAGGGTAAGACAGAAAGAAATTTCTGAACAAATAGGCTGTTCCCAGAGTGCTGTATCAAGGCACCTCAGTGGGAAGTCTGTGGGAAGGAAAAAGTGTGGCAAAAAACGCTGCACAACGAGAAGAGGTGACCGGACCCTGAGGAAGATTGTGGAGAAGGACTGATTCCAGACCTTGGGGGACCTGCGGAAGCAGTGGACTGAGTCTGGAGTAGAAACATCCAGAGCCACCCTGCACAGGCGTGTGCAGGAAATGGGCTACAGGTGCCGCATTCCCCAGGTCAAGCCACTTTTGAACCAGAAACAGCGGCAGAAGCGCCTGACCTGGGCTACAGAGAAGCAGCACTGGACTGTTGCTCAGTTTTGCATGTCATTCGGAAATCAAGGTGCCAGAGTCTGGAGGAAGACTGGGGAGAAGGAAATGCCAAAATGCCTGAAGTCCAGTGTCAAGTATCCACAGTCAGTGATGGTCTGGGGTGCCATGTCAGCTGCTGATGTTGGTGCACTGTGTTTTATCAAGGGCAGGGTCAATGCAGCTAGCTATCAGGAGATTTTGGAGAACTTCATGCTTCCATCTGCTGAAAAGCTTTATGGAGATGAAGATTTCATTTTTCAGCACGACCTGGCACCTGCTCACAGTGCCAAAACCACTGGTAAATGGTTTACTGACCATGGTATTACTGTGCTCAATTGGCCTGCCAGCTCTCCTGACCTGAACCCCATAGAGAATCTGTGGGATATTGTGAAGAGAAAGTTGAGAGACGCAAGACCCAACACTCTGGATGAGCTTAAGGCCACTATCGAAGCATCCTGGGCCTCCATAACACCTCAGCAGTGCCACAGGCTGATTGCCTCCATGCCACGCCGCATTGAAGCAGTCATTTCTGCAAAAGGATTCCCGACCAAGTATTGAGTGCATAACTGAACATAATTATTTGAAGGTTGACTTTTTTTGTTGTATTAAAAACACTTCTTTTATTGGTCGGATGAAATATGCTAATTTTTTGAGACAGGAATTTTGGGTTTTCATGAGCTGTATGCCAAAATCATCAGTATTAAAGCAATAAAAGACCTGAAATATTTCAGTTGGTGTGCAATGAATCTAAAATATATGAACGTTTAATTTTTATCATTACATTATGGAAAATAATGAACTTTATCACAATATGCTGATTTTTTGAGAAGGACCTGTATTTTAACATCTCACACATCGTTGATCTACATTCAGACGTTTTTTTTTATTTTTCCAACTGGACGTTTTCTATGTTATAATGTATTTCTATAATAAAAAACATTTATGATATATCTTACCTTTCAAGCAATGTAGAAGCAAAATGACTAAACATAAAAAATAAACTTTTACAGCCATGTTATCTTTGCAAGCACACACTTATTTAGTTTAATCAGTCTTTCTATGTATTGTATAATTAGCATCAAACAAACAATATAGTTCTAAATAGGGGCGATATTCACCAAGTATGTAAATCGACATTAAAAGTAGTAGTGTGGCGTGCTTTTCTTAGCGTCGTTTCCATCATTCCGTGGTGACTCATCGATTCGTCGCTCTGTTGAGAATGACTTGTATGTTAACCGTGAACATAATTCTGGGTTACTTACTCCCGGATGCGTTTTTGGAACCAGAATACTTTTGAGTAAGCAAGGATTGGGTTAATCAACCAAGAGTTTAGTGCATGTTTGATGGGATAACCTTGCTTTCTGGAATACCCCCTTGCTATGCTGCTGCCGACAACTATTAGAAGGTTGAGCAGCAAGCTGGAGTCCTGATCACCCTGTCGGGGTTTATTCTGTGATAACCGGCTGGATGTACT